AGCATCGTTAACTTTTTTGAGAATGTCAGTCTGCAAATGGGCTCCGTGGGGACAGAGATTCCCCCGTTGGTACAGCCTCAGGGTGCAGACCAGCGTCTCAAGCACTGTGGATGCTCTACCCACGCACCAGATCCATCAAGCAATGAGTTTGATTGGGTGCTTCCTTCTGCCAGGGAGCAAGCTAGTGCGTGTCCACATGGCTTCTCTCTTAGTCTCCTAACAGCACAGCAAGCTGGATAGCTGGGCTCTGGTATGCAGGTGGGGAGGCCGAGGCGCAGAGAAGGCAAGTGACTTGTTCCAGCTCTGTGAGTGGCCAAGCCGGCCCCAAGCTCTGTCTGAAATGCTGACGCGCGTTCTCTAAACCTCCCGTGTGAGGTCCTCACGGAGTGCCCCGTGAGACGGTGCTGCTGTGTTGTGCATCGTGATGCCTCCTCTCCCAGAGTTCCTGAGAAGGAGCCCAGTTAAAAGATGACCAAAAGGGGCCGGTGCTGTGGCGTAGCGGGTAAAGCCGCAGCCTGCAGTGCCGGCATCCCATATGGACACCTGTTCGAGTCCTGGCTGCTCCATTTCCAACCCAGCTCTCTGCGATGGCCTGGGAAATCAGTGGAAGATGGCCCAAGTGCTTAGGTCCCTGCGCCCACATGGGAGACCTGGAGAAAGCTCCTGACTTCTGGCTTCAGACTGGTGCAGCTCCGGCCATTGTGGCCATCTGGGAAGTGAACCAGCGGATGGAAGACCTCTCTCTGTCTCTCTCTGCCTCTCTCTGTAACTCTGCCTTTCAAATAAATAAATGTCTTAAAAAATAAAAATAAAAGACCAAAAGATCTGAAGAAACTTTCTTCAAAGCACATATACAAATTGCCAGTAAGCACAGAAGTGATGTTTAACCTCATTAGTGATTAGAGAAATTAAGTCCAAACTACAGTAAGATATTTCCCAGCCCCGGGGATGGCTGCAGGCCACAAGATGGACTTCTGCAAGTGCTGGTGGCAACAGCAGTGACACGAAACACCCCTGCATTGTTAGAGGAAGCTAAACTGGCACAGTTACTTTGCAAAAATTCCTTGAAAATTTAAATATAAGCTTACCAAACGACCCAGCAATTGGACTCCTAGGTATGTACCTATGGAGTAAAAATCATTGACCTGCACCAAAACTGATATGCAAATATCCTTTATAGTGTTCTTCATTATATATAAAAAAGTGGAAACAGGTGTTGAAAGCAGATAGGATGTACCAGTCAATACACAGTGTGTGGTGTGTCCATGTGATGGAATAGTATTCTGCCAGGAAAAGAATGAAGTTCTTTAAAAAAAAAAGATTTGTTTATTTACTTTGAAAGAATTATAGAGGGGTCAGCACTGTGGCGCAGCAGGTTAACTCCCTGGTCTGAAGCTCTAGCATCCTATATGGGCGCTGATTTGAGACCCGGCTGCTCCATTTCCAATCCAGCTCTCTGCTGTGGCCTGGGAAAGCAGTGGAGGATGGCCCAGGTCCTTGGAGGGTTAACCAATGGCAAAAAGGAAGACCTTTCTCTCTCTTTCTCACTGTCCACTCTGCCTGTCAAAAAAAAAAAATAGTAATGAATCCGTTGCTGGGGTGTAGGGGTGAGGGCAGGCTTGGGCCAGGGGAAGGGGTGTGATGAGAAGAGCACTAGACTGAGGGTTGATGCTGGGGGCCCTTATTAGACTCACAGAGCCACGCCCACCCCCTCTAAGCACCTGTCCCCCTTCTGCGTGGCGGTGGGCCCGGCCACAGGGTGGGTCAGGCAGCTTTGCCTTCTCCCTGCCTACTCCTTGCCTGAGGTCTGTCATGCAGAGGATGGGGGGCTGGCACAGGGGGTCCCAGAGCCCTGGCTGCACGAGACAGCAACAGCAAAGCCAAGCACTCACCATGGAAAGTTCACGGGTGGGGGCGGCCTCGTTCTGGTTGCCTCGCGTGGCTGACGAGTGGCTGGAGAGGCCGCAGGAGCCGCGTTGGGTCCCGAGGAGGGACACCGGCTTACGGCGGCCTCGTGGGCGAGCCCCTCCAGCCTGGGTTTTTTCTCTAATGCTGGGCCCTCGGATCTGGTCCGGCGGCCAAGGCTCTCTCCCAGACCCACAAAGTGCCGCGTGCAGCTAATGGCTCCTATAATGAGAGATTGACGACTCCCGGGCTTTCAGCCGTGGCTCCAACCTCATTTACGCAGCTCTCAGCCCGCAGTCTCTGCAGGCTGCATGCGCGCGGCTCAGGCCGGTGCAGCCGAGCGGACCGGGTGCGGGGAGCCGCGTGCTCCTGCAAATGAGCCCTGTGCTCCTTGTGGCAAGGGACACTCATGCTGACGCGAGACGGGAGAACCTCTGTGTCCTGTTGATGTAATGAGTGCTGAGCTGACGGGGCCCAGGGACTCGGGGAAGGGGGCCGCCAGCGCCCAAGCCCCGCACTGCTCCAGCTCCCCGTCCACAGGGGTCTCCGAGACGGCCCATTGCTCTGCTCTGCGTGTTGGTTGGTCTCCAGCCCTGAACTAAGAGCAGATCGTTTATCCTCGCTCATCCCACACGAAGTCGCCTGGCTAATGAGGCTGGTGACGGGGATCCTGCTGCAACCTGCGTCTCACTTAGGGTGGAGCTGGGCCACTGTGGCGCAGTTTTCTGCCACTGCCTTAGCTGCAGGGGCACAGTCGGGCCCCTCTGAGATCAAACCTCCCTGTGACTTTCAACACCACGGAGCGGGGTCCTCGCTCAGTGAGTCTGAAACAGACAATGCACGATGACGCGAAGGCTGCCAATTTCCACTTAGTAAGAGAAGCAAGCGATGGTGGAGGTGGCCACCCCTCCCGTTCCCTCTGCCTCTGCCCAGACACCGCCTGTCCCCGCCCTGGTAGGGGCTGGTGCTGCTCGACCTGACGCAGTGTGGGCCGTGGGGAGTTGGTGCCTCTACCCCATCCCGGCTGCAGAATTCGAGTCTCCCAGGGTGAAGAGGTGGAGGACCGGATGGTGGTGACGGCTGCACAGGAGTGTGAGTGTGCTAAATGTATCCGTACTGCACACTTACAGATGATGAGATGGATAGTCTATGTTGTATGTGTTTACCACAATCGTGTCTTAAAAAGCAACTGGTTAGAGGCGATGATGGAACCTAGCCGTGCTACCACAGGGCTCCTCACGTGCTGGGCGCCTCCCAGGCCGGATCCCTCCTCCCCAGGGTGCCTGCGCTCCCCCGCCCCTCTCACCCAGCACCTGGCTCGGCACCTCGGGGACATTAGACGTGGGGAAAGGTTTGCTGCCCTGAGGCGGTGACGTGCAGGCGTCACAGGGGACAGAGCGATTCACACGCCTGGCACATGTGGTCGTCCTCACTGTCCTTGAGGCCAGCAGCCTCACCCCGAGCAGAATAAACAATTCTCTCCAGAGAGGCAACCTTCCCCATCCCCCAGGTGCCACGTGGAAGCAGAGCTGGGGTTCCCTGGCCTGCACCCCAGGGGTCAGGGGACGGTGCTGCAGACTCCGGGGGTCGCAGCTCAGTTAACCCCGAGGACTGCAGGATTCAGTGGGCAGGGTTAAAACAGCACATGTGGATAGCAGCGCACTCCAGTTCTGGTTCTGGGGCCCCAGTACATGACAGCGCCGGGTGGTTCACCCACTTTTAGTTCCCAGCCCTACAGAGCGTACTGCGGTCCTCCTCTCTGATGGGGGAGCCACTGAGGCCTCCCTGGCGGTGGTGTTAGGATGCGGCGGCATTTGCGTCTCCTCCTTCCCCAGACACGGGGATTGTTAGCGCTGGGCCATTTGGAGGGGTGGAGCTTGGCAAGTCACTTAATGGCAGCTGTGTCCTCACGTATACCGTGCTCTCCCCAAAGCCGGTGCATACTGAGGGCACCGTGTGCCTAGCGCTTAGCCACGTGTGGCTCATGGCGACTTTGCCATAACAAGTGGCCCTGGGATGTGGCAGTGACGCTGGCCACATGATGGGTCTGGAGCTGGTGAGCCTGCTTGCGTAAAGACCCAGGCCCTCTCCCAGGGGGTGGAGCTACTCTCCTTAGAAAGCGGTGTCTTTCATTTGAAAGGTGGCTTGATGAGTAACGCAGTTCACCACAGCTCCATCTGCCTGGGCTGTTGGAAGGTCACCCTGATCCTGTAATTCCTCTATGCTGGTCCTGGCTTAGCTCAGGGTTTGTTGAGAGAGGTCTCCAGCTCATCACTGGCTCCATGCATGGCGATTCTGTTGGATTCTAACTGTTGTTAGAACTATGAATCACCTAAATGTGGCTGGGGATAAATTACAGGACAATGTTTATTATAATTTAGTGTCAATAAAGATTTATTTAATTAATTGAAAATCAGAGCTACGGATAGACAGGGATCTTCCATCTGCTGGTTCACTCCCCAAATGGCCTCCATGGCCAAGGCTGGGCTGGGCCAAAGCCAGGAGCCAGGAGCTTCTTCCCCGTCTCTCGCATGAGTGCAGGGATCCAAGTACCCAAGCCATCCTCTGCTTCTTTCCCAAGTGCATTAGTTGGATCAGAAGTGGAACAGCTGGTGCTCGCGCCGGTGCCCATATGGGATGCCAGCATTGCAGGCAGCAGCTTAACCCACTGCGCCACGGCGCCGACCCCAAAGATGTTTTATTAAAGGGTAGCAGAAGCGTTCTTGTAATCGCTCGAGCGTGAGCAGACTCTCATATTGCCCAGTTTTCGAGATGCACTGGTTGGCTAAATGACTGAACACTGTAATGTCATCTTGGTCTATTTTAACATGAAGGAAACTTTCAAACACACAAAAAGTGCTATCTGACAAAATAAGTGAAAAAAGGTTTTATTTCTCCGAAGAAATGGGGGGAACTGGGCAGCAGATACATCAGGTCTTTGTCTCAGACGCAGCAGGGTCCTGCAGAAAACTTTCAGCGCTGCTCATACAAACTTGCTTTCCTCGTGCAAGGAGCCCGGGCGGGGGCATCACAATGGTGGCTGCGGTGCCCTGGTTACCGTGTCAACATTCCGGTGACCTCACACACCCACGGTGCACTGGGGCTCAGCCTGGGCAGGGCGTGCGAGCCCAGCTCATTCCGAGAGCAGCTACACTTGGAAGCTGCTGTTTTTCTTTCGTTGGGCCAAGTCCATCCTTATCAGAGACATCAGAGACGGAGTGAAGTGGGTTTCCCACGCCTGGGACCGTGAGCAAACTGGGGAAGGTACGTGAGGCTATTACCCTGAGCGAGACCAGCAGCACTCGGGTCCATGTGCTGGGTGCAGGGGACAAGGGGGGAGTCAGACCACTCGCTCCGAAGGCCCAGGGGACAGATGGTTCCGGAACAGCATCAGGACCCTGCTGTGGGTTGGACTGTGCTCCCCAGCGAGATGTGTTCAAGGTCTAACCCCTCCCTGTGCATGAGGCCTGTTTGGAAACAGGGCCTTGGCAGAGGTCATCATGCTGAGCTGGACTCGTGCTGGAGCGGGCTGGACCTGACCTCCAGTGACTGGTCGCCTCACAAGGAGAATTTTGGAGGGAGGGGAGCAACACACAGCAAGGGTAGATGTAGAGGTCAGAGCAAGACTACTCCAAGCCTGGGAGGGGGCCCGCTGGCACCCGCTGGCAGCTGGATGGGTGGGGAAGGGCCGTGGCCCTGCTGACCCCTTGGTGTCTGCCCTCTCGGCTCCAGAACTGTGAGGGAATAAACCCCCTCTGCTTGTGGCCATTAGTTCTGGGATCAACACGTCTTGGAGGGCTTCTAAGAGGAGGTGATCCAAGCTCTACCAGGGGTGAGGAGTGGGGAGTTAGCCCAATGGGACGGTCAGGAAGGCAGCACCCAAGACCAAAGCCACAGCAAGCCCCAAGCCGTCCGCATCTGGAAGTGGACAGATTCCTGTCCTGGGCTCCCTGAATCCCCAAGGCCTGCAACGTGTGGCCGGGATGTGAGGCCCTGGTCAGGGGTGTCGCTCCCCCTCTTCGTGGAGGAACGACACTAAACCCTGCCTAGGCTTCATATCCGAGTCACGGCACCATTATGTCGCTCCCCGTCTTCGTGGAGGAACGACACAGGACCCTGCGCTGTTCTTTCGTCTGCTCGGCCCTTCCCGGGTTTGCTGCTGGTTCTTCCCGGGTTGGCTACTGACCCTTCCACCTCCGTGGAAGGGCGGTTCCCCCTGCCACATTCCCCACTTCCGCGGGGGAGCGGCACACCGCCGGCCGGCTTTCTCGGGGGCTGCACAGGTGTTCCTTCAGATAGATGTTCCTTAGATGTTCCTGGTGCATGACGTCTCTCTCCTCCTTTATAGTCCTCTTCCACCAATCCCAACTCTGCTACCCACACGCCGAGTACGCTGCTCTCCTCCAATCAGGAGCAAGTCCTACAGTTTATTGGTTGAACTGGAGGCAGCTGTGTAGAAGCTGTTTCCCTTCTCAGCGCCATATTGTGGGAGAGCAGATGCATAGAGTAAGTCTTAATTCCAGTAACTCAGTCTAGTCCGAGTTGCTCCCAGTGGCTCCCCACAAGGGGATCGGGCAGAACCTGCCAGGAGACAAGCCCGGTGGGGTCACCAGCTTGATCATGACCTTGCCGAGACCGGCAGCAGAGGGGACCTCAAACACGTGTGATGGGCACAGCCTGTGTCGCAAGATGAAGCCAGCCTGGGCTTTGAGCTGGCCAGTGGAGGTGAGGTGTGGAGGGGGCCTCGTGCCTTTCTATCGCGAGTGACAGGAGGTAATGATGCTCGCGGAGGTGATGGGCGCGGGAGGAGGAGGAAGAGGCGGGGTTAAAGGAAGTTGGTTGGTTCCCTTTGGGAAAAATTGAGCTCGAGGTGACTCGGAGGCAGCTGGCTCGAGGGCGGGGCTCGCGGGCACCTGGGCCCTTCCTTGGCCAGGTCCTGAGGATTTGGTAAAAAGGCAGACAGAACACAGGGGCCAGGGAGACAGAAGTGCGGGGCTCGAGAGGCGGAGAGGGAGGCCGTGTGGTCCCTGGAGTCATGGAGGGGAGCCTGCAGAGCCTGGGGGACCCTCTGTCCATCTTGGGGGGCCATCAATTCCGTCTGAATCTGAGAGCCGTCTGTGCAAATCGTCGGAAATGCGCATTGTTGAAGGCACAGGGAAGCAGAGTGAGTGTTGAGTCCTCTCCCACGAGAACGGGGCAGGCGTTGGCATCGGTCCAGCGGGGATCCGGAAGCGGCCCCTCTGCCTTCTTCTTTTTTTTTTTTTTTGACAGGCAAAGTGGACAGTGAGAGAGAGACAGAGAGAAAGGTCTTCCTTTGCCGTTGGTTCACCCTCCAATGGCTGCCGCGGCCGGTGCACTGCGCTGATCCGATGGCAGGAACCAGGTGCTTCTCCTGGTCTCCCATGGGGTGCAGGGCCCAAGCACTTGGGCCATCCTCCACTGCACTCCCTGGCCACAGCAGAGAGCTGGCCTGGAAGAGGGGCAACCGGGACAGAATCCGGTGCCCCGACCGGGACTAGAACCTGGTGTGCCGGCGCCGCTAGGCCTTCTACACATGACGCAGACGTGGAGCACGCATGCAGTCACATGGCTCAGAGGCTTCCGATATCTCCGATGATAAGCATGCACTGTCAGTGCCTTCCTGTGTTGCCATGTGGATGTCACATTGGATTTTTCAGACCTTCCGCTCTTCCAGTCCTCTGACCTGTGCTGGGGGGGTGTTAAGGGTGCGCTCGAGATGTCCGTGTTCTCCCTGGGACCGGGGGCCATGTTGTCTTCCACAGCAAAAGGCGCTTTGCAGGTGTGCCTCTGTCAACCTCGAAACGTGATTAAGAGCGTCACCAGGAGACGGGGGTCCTGGGTTAGCGAGCCCAGTCCAATCCCGGGGTCCCTATCAGAGGGAAGCAGAAGGGAGGTGACTGTGGGATCAGAGGTTGGGACGATGCTGGGCCACGGGCTGACGAGGGCGCTGGCCTCTCAGATCTGGAAAAGACAGGGAGTAATCCCCCCAGCCCTTCAGCAAGGAGTGCAGCCCTGCTGGCCCTGTGGGACCCGGGTTGGACTTCGGGCAAGCAGAGCTGCACCATGGTAGCGCGTGGTCATTGTTAGAGCAACCACGGCCGCTCTCCCGTGGCTCCTCCGCTCCGGGTCAGTTCTCCCTCCTCGCTGCAGGGAGCACGTGCCTCCCAGGGCTGTGACTCACACCCCTGCATCCGTTCCGGTAACCCTGTGAGGCAGGCACCCTGCTGTCTCCATTGCACAGGGAGGAACCCAGGGGTGCTCAGAACTTGCCCAAGCACATGTGTGTGGAGAGCTGGGATTACCCCCTAGGACTCTGGATGCCTTTGTCCCACTGAAGCTGCAGCTTTAATGGCCGCCTGGAGCCTGGCTCCTGCTCATTAACCAGGTAACGGGGCCATTTCTTAAACGTTGGCTCTGCATCCCGTACCTCGGGCCCGACGCCTTCCAAGCTGCGTGCGTGCAGGAGGCCCTGCTGCCTGTGTTTTCTGGGTGCACAAACTCAGAGGCTGAGCTGGGTGCAGACTCCGATCTGTCTGGCCGCAGTTATTCACCCATTCATGATGTCACACAGCCGGAGCCACGCGATTTCTGTCTTTGTCCATTTTACTGTCAGTTCTTCATGATGCATCAGGAATCTACTAAAATCGACTAGAGCTTTCAGCTGTTACAGTTGCAGGTCACACAAAGTAACCTGTGCCCATTGTCCGATGACCCGGCGCCACTCAGTGACGGTCATGGGTGGGCTCATGGTCATCTAAGGACGATACAACATCTGGCCAGCCCTTGGTCAGGTCAGTGGTGACTTGGAATTCTCTCAAGCTGTGTCCTGACCCCTTGGAAAAATCTGCCAAACTTGAAAATGTTGCCCAGTGAAATTCTGTAAATTCTATCTAAAATTTTAAGCGAACTCTTCTGATGAGTTGATAACGACAGGACTCTGATGTGGAGCGCGATTTTCTTAACATTCCTCTTTCTCATCACCGGCTCCGGCAGGTGGGGGGGACCAGTCGTCAGAGCCGTTTGAAAAACCTCCTCCCCAAGAGCATCTCCTCTGGGGAGGCACCGTTGCCCCCCTGGGCTGGGGGCCGGGGCCTCCGGCTGGGCTTGTTCACCGCCTGCCTCCTGCCCAGTCCTGCTGCACCCAGGACACAGGTTGCTGTGGGGACCTTGGGGGTTGCTGGGCTCAGGCCCCGCCTCTTACGTCTCCTGTAGGAAGCCCCGCGCTGGGAGCTTGCGTCTAAGGGCACCTTTTCCTCACCAGGGCTCAGGGCTCCAGGAGGCAGGCAGGGCAGGTCGTGGAGGAGGACGCCGGGGCTCAGCGCGGTCTGTCGGTGTGTCCATCATTGCCAAGTTAGTGACCAGGCGGCCAGGCGAGAAGCCTGGGCCTCTGTTTCGGTCCACTGCTCGCACCCTGGGCCCCGACGATAGGTTTGGCTGTACTGGGATAAGCACTCGCGTAGACACGCACGTGGGGGATTTTACTCAGTGTCTCACAATATGGTCACGAAATGATCTCAAATGTCCCCAGACAGTCCCAAAATCAGTGTGTGGGTTCCCTGTCGCTCCTCCAGAGAGGGTCGTGTTAAGAGGTGGGACACGAGCAGGTCCTGTATTTCTGCCGTTCTAAACCTTCGTGGTGTTGGGGAACCTGTGACTGGTTTCTCTTGTTCTGGTATGAACTGTTTAATTGTGACTGAATCCGTGGGACACCATCCGTGGGACACCAACAGCCGTTAAGAGGAAGGAAACTGGCATTCGGAAAACCTGAGCGATTAGGGCCTCCAGGAGCACGCGTGGAAGGCAGGACGTGCGGGGTGATGGAAGGGTGTGCACGGTTTATCAGACCGGCGGCTGCTGCATTCACCATGGCCTAGTGCAGTAGGCAGTAGGTGACGTGCAACTTCATGCTGAAGTTAAATATTCCATTTTATCTTTTCATGTACTAAAAAGCAGCAATATATTATCTCCTTCACCTAGGATTACGGGGCCAGCCGTGCAGTACACACGACCCAATTGCCTTTAGAAACCTCCAGTCTGATGGTGCAGAGGGGAAAGCCGGCGTCACCGAGGTAACACGCGTTGTAACTTGTGCTCAGCAAAGCACACCCTGCCGGGAAGCCTGGTCCCCAGGCTGCTTACGATGTGACAGTGCTGTGTTTGTTCAGTCACAATTGAGTTAGGTTAACAGAAAATCCAGCCACCAATGCCTAGGCCTTGTTATATAAAAGTGCACACTGAGTACTTGGTTCTTGCTTTATGCCCTTCACCAACAGCTTGTAAGTCTGCAGTACCACCGGCCAGTACAGGGATTGGCCCAACTCTAAATCAAAATTGATCTTCTGGGGAGAGAGGCCATGCAGAATTTTGAAGGTGAGAGGAGGTGTTTGAAATCTCACAAGCTGGTGTGGGTTCCTGTAGCTGCACAAAGTATCAGGGACTGGAAATAGAACGTTAGGGGTCGTGTTTACAAAATGACATAAATATTTTTAAGTTAATTTCTTGATTAGAAAGAAAACTCTCAACCCCCCGGTTCACTCCCCAAATGCCCACAACAGTCAGGACTGGGCCAGGCCAAAGCCAGGAGGCAGGAAGGCCATGTGGGTCTCCCACCCAGGAGGAAGGCCGTGTGGGTCTCCCACCCAGGAGGAGGAAGGCCGTGTGGGTCTCCCACCCAGGAGGAGGAAGCAGCACTGAGCCATTGCCGCCGCCTCCTGGTGAGCGTTAGCAGGAAACTGGGACAGGAGCAGGGCTGGTGCCCACACCCAGGGACTCTGGTCTGGGACACAGACATCTCCAGTGAGGGCTTGATTGCTATGCCAATCACCCATCCTCCCTTTTTAAAAATGTATTTTATTTACTTAAGAGGTAGAGAATGAGAGAGAGAGAGAGAGAGAGAGAGAAAGAAGAGAGAAAATGCAATGTTTAGATTCTGCGTAATCAAGCACTCTGCACACAATGGTTAATACTGCCAACTTGTCACATGATAGGCTCTATCTAATTGACTAATTCATTTCATCTTCCCTTGGTCTCAGGAGGGAAGTACTTTAAAGAGAGAGAGAGAGAGAGAGAGAGAGAGAGAGAGAGAGAGAGAGAGAGAGAGAGATTATTGGGGCCAGCCCTGTGGCACAGCAGGTTAAAGCCCTGGCCTGAAGCACTAGCATCCCATATGAGCTTGAGTTCTAGTCCTAGCTGCTCCTCTTCTGATCCAGCTCTCTGCTATGGCCTGGGAAAGCAGTAGAAGATGGTCCAAGTCCTTGGGCCCCTGTAGCTACGTGAGAGACCTGGAAGAAGCCCCCGATTCCTGACTTTGGATTGACTCAGCTCCAGCCATTGCAGCCATTTGGGGAGTGAACCAGCGGATGGAAGACCTCTCTCTCTGTCTCTACCTATATCTGTAATTCTTTCAAATAAATAAAGACAAATCTTTCAAAAACTATTATTTATTTGAAAGGCAGAGTGAGAGATATCTTCCATCCGCTGGTTCATTCCTCAAATGCTCACAACAGTCAGGTCTGGGCCAGACAAAAGCCAGGAGCACAAAGTTTCATCTGGGCCTACCACCTGGATGAGAGGGGCCTGAGCACTTGGGCCGTCTTCCACTCTCTTCCCAGGCACATTAGTAGGAAGCTGGGCCAGAGCAGAAGCGCTGGGACTCAAACCATCACTCCAACGTGGGGTGCAGGGCCACAAGCAGCCGCTTAACCCGCTGTACCACACACCAGCCCCAGGAGGCGCTGGTCAGTACTCATTCTGCAGAAGAGAAAACTAAGTCTCCTAATTTAAGCTGCTCGGACCCCAAGCCCCCATTCTTATGCTCTCCCAGGCTCTTCCCAGTTGGCAGAACTTGAAACACGGATTTGCTCACCTTAAAGAGCTGTCCAAGAAGTTACAGCTTACAAGGCACCTGCTGGCTGCCACAATGGGATGTTCTGCCGCCATCTTTTGTAATTCTAAGAGAGAGGACTTGCAGGAATCTCTCTCCCAGGAATCTCTCTCCTAGCGAAAGCCTCAGTTAGGAACGTATTTTTCCCCAAGTGCTTGTCCGAGGCATGATTTTGATTTCATAAAGCTGACGTTCCCCTCAAAGATGAGAGGCTGGAAGTCCCGCAGGACAGAGGGAGATGCTGTCTTAGGCCCTGAGATTTAGCCGTCAATATTTAAAGGCTTTTCTATGTGAAGCCCCAAGGTCAGTGTCTCGAGATAGAAACATACACGGCTGTGATTAATCTGTTCCCTTGGGAGCAGCATCAGGAAACCCAGGTTACGGGAGGAAAATGAGTAGGAGGAGCCTGGATCCTTGACAGCTGCCCCAGAAGGAGATGCCGGGGTCAGGGGGTGTCCGGGTGGATGTGGGGGTGCTGCAGGATGGTCCTGCCCTTTAAGAGGAGACAGGCTTTCGTCTTGTCTGCTGCTCCACACGTGGACTTGGCCAATTGCAGCATTTTCCTTCGATGTCAAAACAAACAAGAATTTGGTCATTGATGATGGTACGGATCTTGGGGGCTGTGTGGCTGGATCCCTACGGGGGTGCTTCCCAAAGCTGTCAAAAATGGAATTACAAGTTTATTTTGGTATAAAAATTGTTTGTTGAGATTCATGTATAGTTTTTAATCATAACATGCATTTCCATGAACTTGTTGGAGACCTCTTGTGTAACACACACACACACACACACACACACGAACACGTACACTCTCTCACACACACGTACACTCTCACACACTCACACACGTACACTCTCACATACACATACATTCACACACGTACACTCTTTCACACACATGCACACTCACACACGTACACTCTCACACGCACGTACACTCACACACATGTACATGCACACACGTACACTCTCACATACACACACTCATGTACATGTACACTCACACACTCACACGTACACTCTCACACACTCACACACATACACTCTCACATACACATACACTCACACACGTACACTCTCTCACACACATGCACACTCACACACGTACACTCTCACACACGTACACTCACACACATGTACATGCACACACGTACACTCTCACATACACACACTCATGTACATGTACACTCACACACTCACATGTACACTCTCTCACACTCACACACATACACTCTCACATACACATACATTCACACACGTACACTCTCTCACACACATGCACACTCACACACATGTACACTCTCACACGCACGTACACTCACACACATGTACATGCACACACGTACACTCTCACATACACACACACTCATGTACATGTACACTCACACACTCACATGTACACTCTCTCACACTCACACACATACACTCTCACATACACATACACTCACACACGTACACTCTCTCACACACATGCACACTCACACACACATGTACACTCTCACACACGTACACTCTCACACACTCACATTAGGTTACTTTCTGTGACTCAGTTAAATAACTCTCAGAAAATCACATTCTCTCAATATCTGCTCTGAAATTCCTGGATCAGTCGCGTGAGTTTCCAATTTCCCTTCACACTTGGAGCCTTTTAAGCTTGTCCTGGTGTGTGTGTGTGTGTGTGTGTGCATATGTATGTGTGTGTATCTGTTGGTACGCTTATTTATGTATGTGTAGGCATGTGGTGTACGTAGATTGTGTATTGGGTGTATGTATGTGTAAGTATGTGTGTATTATGTGTGTGTGTATGCGTGTGCGTGTGTGTGTGTGTGTGTTATGAAGCTGCTGTCAGATGATGAAACATAACACCAGACCTCCTACTTTAGTGGCTGCCATGAACCCCCACCTCTCCTCGAGAGCCGGGCCAAGGCTGGCCGCTTCTTCACAGATTCCTCCGAGCTGAAGCAGGGGTGCCGGCACCCCCTCTGTGAGCCATCATTCGAAAGGACTGAAATAAGGGGCAGAGTTCTCAGCTTGAAGGAAAAGGTTGACGTTTTCTGATGCTCAAAGTAATAGACTGATAATAAAAGTAATGACAACCGCATGTAGAAACTTGGAATACAGAAATGCATCAATAAGGACGTCTTCCCACCCTTTTTCCCATGCATTTGACAAAAGCACGAGACTCTCTCGCATATCAACTTTTATTGCCCTCTTTTATTATATACTGTTCCATCACAAACAATTTCCCACTTAATTTGTCATTTTATTTTAATTTCTTGGGGAAAAATATGTTCCTAACTGATGCTTTTGCTATGAGAGATTCCTGCAAGTCCCCTCTCTTAGAATATAAGATCCAGTTGTGCTTGCCATGGTTTCCTTACACGCTCTTTAAAAAATCGATTGTTGGTGGCTGCCGGTGGCTGGGGGAGAAGGGACGGGGACTTATTCTTTAATGGTACAGGGCTTTTATTCTTCAAGATGAAAAGAGTTCTAGAAATAGGTAGAGGTGATGATTACACAGCATTATGAGTATTTTTTAATACCATTGAGCTGTACACTTAAAAATGGTTTAGGTGGCAAATTCTATGTGTATTTTTGTTTTGTTTTTGTTTTTGTTTTGACAGGCAGAGTGGACAGTGAGAGAGAGACAGAGAGAAAGGTCTTCCTTTTGCCGTTGGTTCACCCTCCAATGGCCGCCGCGGCCGGCACGCTGCAGCTGGCACACCGTGCTGATCTGAAGCCAGGAGCCAGGTGCTTCTCCTGGTCTCCCATGGGGTGCAGGGCCCAAGTACTTGGGCCATCCTCCACTGCACTCCCGGGCCACAGCAGAGAGCTGGCCTGGAAGAGGGGCAACCGGGACAGAATCCGGTGCCCCGACTGGGACTAGAACCTGGTGTGCCGGCGCCGCAGGCGGAGGATTAGCCTAGTGAGCCGCGGCGCCGGTTTTCTATGGTATGTTACCAGCACAAAATGGGAAAAAGGGTTCGTGTTGACTGTTGACTGCTACACATTACAAGGCATTGAAGGCCTTCAGTGTTGAGTACATGCATCGAAACACAAAAGTCACCCCACGGCGAGTGAGAACAGGCTGAGGTTTCCCACCTGTCTCAGAACTCTCCCCCTGCGGTTACATACCGGAGCCCCACTGTCCGAAGCCGCAAGGTCTCCGGTTGCCGACTCCTGCTGCTCAGGAGTCTGGCGCCTCCGAGGCGGGTCAGCAGGTTCCCGGAGGGTCACTGGGGCTGAAGCTGTGAGAGAAGTGGCCGGAAGAGTTGTGGGTGGCAGAGCAGCAGTGGAAGGAAGCGAAGAAACTGTCACGGACGAGGGAAGCCCAGGCTCCAGCGGTCCAGGTCGGTTAGATGCTTATCCTGGGAGAAAGACACTGCGGGCACGGAGGCAGCCTCGCTCCCGCGGCTCCGGGTCTGACTCCTCTGATCCTCTCTGCTCATCTCTTTCTGATGTCACTTTCGGAGACGATTGCCCTTCTTCGTAATGTGCCTTCAGGCATAAATATCAAGTAAGAATAGTCTATAGAAAGCGTAGGACCACGAAAGCAGTTGCCAGCGCTTACGAATTGTGATCATCACTTGACAAAGAATCAGTGCCCTACAGCGGCAGCCGTGAGCCAGGACCCGCAGCGATTCCGTGCCGAAGCTCAGGAGGCAGATGGTTCCCCGCCAGAGGAAGCCCTGCCCCTGCGCTGACCTCTCCCCCCTTGGACGCTCCGCATTAAATCCCAGATGGTTCTCTTCTCTTCCAATCAAGCCTTACGTCAGTTAACTTGATCTTAGATGAAAGACATCTCTTTGCAGAGCCCATTTTTAACCCACTGTGAAGCAGATGGCATGTCACCCTGAGATAGCTTAATTTGGGAGATATTTGATGTAAAAGATGGGATTACTTTGTAATTGCCCAGCTATCAAGTAGCAGGCTGGCGGGGAAATCAATAACTCCTCCTCTTTACTCTGTCTCGGTTTCCATACCCGGCTGACACTTGACCACAGGGCGATGTGTTGTGCTTGGTGCTGGGCTGCACTGGTCCCCGGATGTCCTGTGCTGAAGTGGCATCCCTCAGTCTCTGAGAATCGCACTGTATTTGCAGACTGGTGTTTCAAAAGAGATAACTGGGGTTTGAGGTGGTCCTAACCTGATCTGGCTGGTCTCCTTACAACAATTTAGGACACAGGCAGGTACCGGAGATGAGCACCTGAAGACGTGGGAGCAGGCACCGCCTACAAGGCACGCGGTGTGGGGACCCAGCCGTGCCGGCGCCCTGACCCCGGCTCGCAGCCTGCAGGGCTGTGGGACAACACGCTCTCCTGGCTCAGCCACCCGACCGCGATCCCCTGTTGAAGTGGCCTGCCCAGCTGTCACTGGCCTGTCTTTATTTTGGGACTCAATGAGAGAATAGAACTTCCGAGAAGCCTTCCATGAGAACTGTGTATGTGAGGACGGGAGTCCAGCGTTGCCTCTCTGGTTTCTTTCCATGAATTATTCGGGGCTTTTGTCTAAGCTAACACCACACACTGGAACTACCCTGTCCTGGCGTCCTGATTGGCTGTTGGCTGCGGAAGGCAGGGGTGCCTTCGTGCCCGCATGGGCCTGAGATGGGGTGCTCAGGTGTTGGT